CGACATGTCCATTTTTAAAACTGCAGACTGGACTCCCAGGAAAAATAGGAACAAAAAGTGTGTTTTATTAACACAAAAACGTGTGTTGAAAAGGAGATGTTGATATGTGCCAGTTTTCTTAGACTTGGTTCTTTTGAATAGGATTCAATATGAGAAAAATCAACATCGATGGAGTTGGTCTTTACGTCAAAGTGCCAGTCCAAATCGTCATAGACCGGTAATGTCCTTGTTGAGGAGGTGGGGCAGCCAGTCAAGGCATCTGTCTGATTCTTAGTATTTGTCCCAGTTTACCCCCACATTTGACTAAATATCTGCTGCTGTTTAAAACCTTATTTCATCTGCCTAATTTATATTTATCAAAGTATTTCATGAAAACATTGCTTTTTTCAGAAAACCCTCATGATTTTCCCACATTTGGAAAAATGGATTCCTATAGATCTAGCACAGCTGTTTGATTACCTGTAAGTATAATCACTGTACTCGGCAAACTTCATTTCTTTCTGTAAATCAACATTCTGTTTGGTGAAGTAATCATTCTATGCTGCATCTGTTCTTTCAACTTAAGTGAACTTTGACACCAGGTCAATCTGAAATTGTAAGTGCACAAGCTAGGAAGCCTGAAGGTTATGGATCTGATTTGGTAAGTATGGTACATGTACATGTAGTAAGGTTGAGATCTACGGCAGCACCGTAATTTGTATCTTTAATCAAGTGATCAGGGAATGTTGATGATTCAAAACTGTCACACTGACTTTAAGACTAACAATTGTGATAAGTATAATGTAGGGTCCAAGGGGACGGTCAGGATCACAGATTTTTTTCCATGTCAGATTGTTGAAAACATGGGGATACATATATGTAATGCTTTAAATTGTTACTGATGCACCTCTACATGTATTACTTTATTTTGATTAATAATTTCTTCAATTTTTTATGTTAGAGGAGGGATTGACCTCCCCTCCCTTTGATCCCCACCAGATTAATCAATGACACCTTGAGCATTTCTAGCTCTCTCAAACTCATTACAACTAGGGGTCCACCACCCTGTGACTGCCACTTTGGGACCAGAAGTAAAAAGGACCAACACTGCAAGTTTACAAAAAACATTATGCTGCAACACAAATAATCCCACCCAGTATCAAGTACATGTATGGACTGGTTCTACTTCGTATATGTTAAGTTCAAGGAGAGTACACTAAAGTAAGGATACTACTCAACACACAAGATCCATATCTAGTCTCTCCTTATGGCTTCCCTGTGTGCATACAATATCAGACTGACCAAGTGTCAAAGGTCACTTCAGTTGAGAGAACAGACACAGCACAGCAACAACAAATTTGCCAAACAGACTGACAATTTGCCAAGTACAATGATTACGGTTAAAGGAAGGGGACACTTTTGGTTTTTTGCCGTAATTTCAAGACAGATTGGCTGATTACTGGTTTTAAGATTCCACTGACTTACTTCTTGTTTGAGTCAACTGCTTTGTGAAAAATCAAGAAAAACAATGGCATTTTTCTATGGTGAAATTGAAGATCTTCTACGGTTGATTGACCGGTTCTGTAAACAGAAACAGTCCAAGGTCCCTGGCACCTTGAAAAATTACTTTCATGGAAAGGTTTTCCTCCAGAAATATCCAGAAATTATCCAGCTACACATGATACTCTACCATTTGGGGCGGCCACTTGAAAGACGAATGCTAGCGAGCTTTTTTGGTGGACTGTTATTTGCCCGGTTCCACAAACATTTGCCAGTTCTACAAACAATGCCATCTGTACGGAAGGTCTTGTTTTTCTGACACAGGACATGCACTACACACACACTGAGTGGGCACTGTAACATTATCTAAAACTTGTTTGTGGAGCTGGCAAAAAATCTTGCAGTTACTTTTGTATCTAAAACATATACATTTGAAAAAGTATAGAACTCATATTTTCTGCAAGATTTTCAAGTAAACTATTTCAGAGAAATATGAATCAAGCCCCCAGCAATTTTCCTTTTCTGAAAATGAAGCCCGTTTTTTAACTGTGGAGTTGGCTAAATTGTGGAACTGAACAATCAACTGTAATAAAAATCCATGAACTACAGGGTGTTTGCAAATCATAGTAAGCAAATAACACCCGCAGGATCAGGGTAGAGAACAGGCATGACAGGTTCTCTTTCCCTCTTAAGAAAGGGCAGTTTTCAAAGGCCAGTAGTCAGTGAATTTACCAAGGGGTAATGCACCTCCTTGATTATACCGGTATGTATGTATACATAGCATTATTGCCGACTCATGGAAAAAACTTCATCCTGGAATGAATCATGCAGTCCACTCATATCCATGACACTGATGCAAAGAGAATAACATGTATCATGCAGGTTTTGCCCGTACCCAACGTATATTAATAAGCACTGACCATACAGTGCTTATTAATATACGTT